CAAATGTGAGTGACCAATATGGCAGCACTGAGGATGAGAAAGACATAGAGAGGTCCATGGGAGGTACAGACAACAAATATGAACACTTTTGTACATACAGTACTGCGTTGTCAGTGAAGGCTAACATGGGTATATGGTGAATAGATGGGTAGACAGGCTGAACAATTAGGTATGTCTATGAAATGAGGAGTGTATCCAAGGACATATATAGGGTTGGCAGACAATGATCCTACAAGTTTATGTGAATGATCAGAATTCCCAAGTGTATAGTAGAGCTGACAAGGAGCAAGGTGGTGGTTACTGCTTGGTCACTGCCAGCTACCCAGAGGGACCAAGTAGTTGAACCTGCGGTCTTGGGACCATAGTCTCAGGGGACATCAAGCTCAATTGGCATAACATATTACACAAAACATTGTTCCACCTCCTACTTGGCAAGTAGTGACTGGGATCTTAAAAGCTAACAAGCAGCCATCTAGATGCAAAGATGGGTCTCTCCTCATCCAGCACAAAGGAGAATGAAGAAAATCAAAGATTCATGGGAAGAATTAGTCCTAGTGACTGGTACACCATGCAATCCACAGCCTATACAACTATGAGACGAGAAGAACTAGATTGTGTCTGGCTACCAAGGTCAACCATTTGGAGGGGGATCTATATAGCAAACCCTGGATAGAGAGGGAGAACAATGTAGAACAAAACTCAGAAGCATTTGGGGGAAAAAAAAAAAAAAAGCATGACCAGGTTTGCTGGTCTGATAGAGCCTAGTGAAACCACTGAGACTATGGCCCCTAGCTGTTCTGCAGGTCTAGAATTGAACCCATTCCTGTGGCTTCCAGCCAAGCAAAAGACAGGCATAGGAGTTGAACATTTACCTGAGGTAGATACACTCTTTGGAGATAACACTCATGGGAGAAAGAAACTGATACAACCACTGTGGAAAGTAGTACACAATTCCTCAAAACGTTAAAATTAGAAATACCACTTGACCCAACAATCCCATTACTAGGTATATATCCTAAAGAAGTGAGAGCCAGGACAAGAAAAGATATATACACACCTATGTTCATCACAGTACTATTTACAATAGCCAAAAGATGGAAACAACCTAGGTGCCCATTCAACGGAAGAGTGGATAATCAAACTATGGTACACACACACAATGGAATATTATGCAACATTAAAGAATAATGTAGAATCTGAAAAACACCACATAACATGGATGAACTTGGAAGACATTATACTGAGTGAAATAAGTCAATCATGTTGTTGTTAATGTGCTGTCAAGTCGGCTCCGACTCACAGTGACCCCTTCTTGGGTTTCCAAGGCGGTATTACCATGGAAGTAGATTGTGCAACCTTCCTTCCAAGGAGTGGCTAGTGGGTTTGAACTGCCAGCCTCCTGGTTAGCCGTCAAGTGCCTTAGGCACTACGCTACCAGAGCTCCTAAGTCAATCACAGAAAGACAAATATAGTATTAGTTCACAACTGTAAAAGATCAAAGAAAGATTAATATATGGAAAGAAAATTTCTTTGTTGGTTACCAGGGGTGGGAGGGAAGGGGAGAGAACACTGCAAAAAAAAGAAAAAATGCACTGACCCACATCAATTTTAGTTAGTGTATTTCACTGTACATAAATTATATTTCAATAAAATATATTTTTTAAAAAATGCTGGAGAGCAAAGATGTCTCTTTGAAGACTAAGGTGCCCTAGCCCAAACCATGGTATTTTCAATTGCCTCATATGTGTGTGAAAGCTGGACAATGAATAAGGAAGATCAAAGAAGAGTTGATGCTTTTGAGTTGTGGTGTTGGTGGAGGATACTGAAAGTAACCTGGACTGCCAGAACAACTAATAAATCTGACCTGGAAGAAGTGCAGCTGGAAGGCTCCTTGGAAGCAAGAATGGCCAGACTTTGTCTCACCTACTTTGGTCATGGTGTCAGAAGGGAACACTCCCTGAAGGATATCATGCTTGGTAAAGTGGAGGGTGAACAAAAAAGGGGAAGGCCCTCAATGAGATGGATTGACAGAGTGGCTGCAATGAGGGGCTCAGGTATAGGGAGGGTTGTGAGGCTGGCACAGGACCGGGCAGTGTTTCATTCTGTTGTACATAGGGTTGCCATGAGTTGGAGCCAACTTGATGGCACCTAACAACAACAACAAAGAATGCTGATGGAACCTGGATCAGGATTGCACTGAGGGTGTAGATTGCTTTGGGTAGTACTGACATTTTCACAATGTTCAATCTTTCTATCCATGAGCACGGTACGTTCTTCCATTTATGTAGATCTCTTACGGTTTCTTGAAGTAATGTGTTGTAGTTTTCTTTGTATAGGTCTTTTGCATTCTTGGTAAGATTTATTCCCAAGTATTTTATCTTTTTGGTAGTTACTGTAAATGCTATTTAATTCCTTATCTCCTTTTCAGAGAACTCTTTGCTGGTAAAGAGGAATCCAAGTGATTTATGTTATGTTGTTCTTGTATCCTGCCACTATGCTAAATCTTTCAGTAAGTTACAGTAGTTTTTTTTTTTTTTTTTTTTCTGAATCTCTTGGGTTTTCCATGTACAGGATATATCATTCTTGACTATACTTTTAATGGAAGCAGATCACTAGGCTTTTTCTTCCCAGGTACTGCTAGGTGTTTTCAAATAGCCAATCATTAGGTTAGCAGTTGAGGGCAAAGCATTTGTGCTACCCAGCGACCCTACACAGGTCCAAGTCTGTTTCCAAAGGCAAAACTTAAGAGTTGCACTCCAAGGTGCCTTGCCAGAGTTCTAAGGGACATCCTCACCCTGGATTCCAGAGAAGCAAGAAATCATGTTCCTTATGTCTTGAATCACGCTGTGCTAAAGTAGGGTCATCTCTTCTCTCCCTTACTGAAAGGAGACTCTGAAAATTCCTCAACCCAATTTCTTTCTTTGGCTCCCAGACCCCTGCTTGCAGCCTTTATGTCTGCTCTTTGAGAAGGTAGGTGAATTCCCCAGAATGGCTCTGCTGGGGAGCAGCCCTGGTGCTAAACAACGGTCTCCTAAGGGTGGTGATGGGGTGCTGTTCTTTCTTCTCTTAGGAAAACTGACCTTTTTGAGGTTCAGTGAGAGACTGGATACCCTTGAAGAAATTGACAGAGACATCAGGCCAATTCCTAAGGTTACCCAGATGTTTATTTTCAGCAGACCGACAGAGTTTGGTTTTTTTGTTGTTGTTGTTGTTGTTTTTGACAGAAGGAAGGGGGGTTCCCAGTGCCAGAGGCTCAGGGCCCAGACTGGGGCTGGTTCTTGGAAGGGAGTAACCACACTTTGGGGGTTGAGTTCTTCAATAGCTGTGCCACGGTCACTTGGGGCTTTGGGGCACTTCTCTGGATGGGGTGCTGCTCCATGGGAAGAGAGATGTGGCCTTCTTTATCCTGCTGGGGCTTCCCAGAACTGAGCAGTGCCTGGGTGCTAGAGTTCCACAAGCTCACACCAGGAGCCAATTCCATGGCATCTGGCAGCAGCACGGGCTTCCACATCACCCGGGAGGTGGCCTCGAGGACCCGAGGCCACTTGCCAGAATTGTGTCCCTCTTGGTCTGCTGGGTCCAAGCCCTGTATACAGGTACAGCCAGCACCCATCTCACCCAGCAGCTCCGCCTCTCCCTCCCAGCCGCTGCGCCTCTTGGCACTGGGCCACAGCTTGGGGCTGAGGCTTGGAGCCATGCTGGGAAGTGCTGGGTATTTGGTGATGCAGCGGAGCCTCGGCCTGGGGAAAGGCAGCTTAGACCTGAAGGCTGGCGACAGTAAACCTGAAGTGGGGAATTGGAGGCCCGGATCAGGTCCCAAGGAATGGGAAGAAACGTCAGGCTGGAGAGGGAGGTACGCTGCTGGCGAGACCTGACCGCCAGGACCCAGTACTTGGAGTGTACCGCGGACCTCGGTCTTCTTGCTCTGCCAGCGCCCACGATAAGTGTACAGGGGGCGCGCCTCGGAGTCTGGGACCACGACCTCCACCAGGGGGCGTACCCAGTGGCGCGGCATCTGCCCGGGGTTCAGGCGAGCGGTCGCCACTTGGCGGCCGGCCCTGTAGTTAAGCGAGTTCAGCTTGGGCTGCAGAGGCCAGTGTGACGCTGACCGGCTGAGCCAGGTGAGGGTTTCTGCAGATGGGCAAGACACCAACATGCCCGAATCGCTGCGGGAAACTTCGTCCTTCTTGAGTTTGACACTGTCTCCCGCCGTGTCGTCGTCGACAGCGGGCTGGGGCGCGCAATAATACAGGTCCTCAAGTGAGAGCTGGGAGCTGGGGGGCCCACTCTCCACTGATGCCTGGAAGGTGGCTTCCAGGAACTGCTCCTGAGAACACTGGGGACTGCCGTCAGGCGCCATTTCCCCTGATGGATAGAAACTCGCATTGAAGGACTCAGCAGTGGAACCTTGGTCGTCCAGTTTCCCTAAAGGGTCCCTGGGCTCTGTCTCCAGGGTGGGCAGGGGGCCCAGGCTGTCTCCCGGTTCTGGTGACCGCTCCGAAGATTCCATCTGCTCCTGGAAGTTTCTTCCTGTCCAAGATCTTAAAGGGCTGCGGTCCACGCTCTCTCGGTCCTACGGAAATGCACGGGAGTATGGAGCAGTGAGATGCTGAAAAGGGAAAGAGGGAGTAAGGACTGAGAGGTACTGAAAGGCTCTAGAGGGGGCCGAAAGGGGAAGTGTGGGTGCTGGGGCTGGACTTACTTCGCCTTGCAAGGTGCCCTCAGGCCCCAGAGAAGTGGGCGCATGCAGCACAGGCACCGAACCTTGCGCCCAGGCATCTGTAGCGCACGCCAGGGGCTCCTCGTCCTCACCCCACATGGGGTCATCCGCCACTGAGGACTCTCCCTCGTCCCGGGCCAGGAAGCGCCACTCGGTGATCTGCAACATTGCCTCTCGAGCCTGACTGATGGTGAATGGAATACACTGCAGGGGCAAGAAAGGATCTCAGCGCTATAGAGAGGAATCGGGGATGGGGGGAGATAAGTCCGAAGGACCCTGTTTTCCAGGCCAACCTGTTGGGTTAGGTAGACTCTGAAAGCAGAGTCCATGACTCCAGCCAACAGGTCGGCCAAGATGTCCCCCACCACGTCCTCGCCCTCCTCAATAGCCGCCAGCGCCATCCACTCCGACTCGTTGAGCCGCCCAGGTACGATGTCCACCTGCGGCACAGGCACTGTGGGCGGCCGGGCCTTTTCCGCCTTGGATCTGGTCACCCCACGGTCTCGGGTCTGCCTCTCCTGCCTCTATGGGGATGGAAACAAAGCAGTTAGAGACTGAAACAAGAGTGGGATGGAGAAACAGCTGTAGCCTAGGAGAAAGCTTTTGTAAGGTAGATAGATCTGGTAGAAAGAAAAAGAGAAAGGGATTATAACTTACTGTCATGAACTTACCATGTGACTGATGCTTTTTAGGTGTTTGACCTAGCTAATTTAATTTTCCTAACAGCCCACTAAGTCCATTTTATGGACAAAGAAACCGAAACTTGACAGAGGTTAACAATCACTTGCTCTGGATCATAGTAAACCCAAGCTGTAAAATTCCATGTTGCTGTTGGTGGTGTTAGTTGCCCTCAGTGGACTCCTACTTACCGAGAACTTATGTAAAACACAACAAAATGTTGCCCACCCTGTGCCATCTTCATGATCACTGGTATGTTTGCATTTTCCAGCACTATATCAAACACTGGTTTGTTATGATCTATAAGGATTCCATTGGCTGATCTTCAGAAGTAGATCACCAAGCCTTTCTTCCTAGTCCATCATAGACTGGAAGCTCTGCTAAAATCTCTCCACCAGGGGTGGCCCTGTTGTATTTGAAATACATGTGGCAAAGCTTCCACCATCCTAGTAACACACAAGCCACTGTAGTATGACAAACTGACAGACAGGTGGTGATGTAACTCCACAAACTCACTGCCCATGAGTCGTTTTTTGACTCATTGTGACCCCTCCTTGGGTTTCTGAGATGGTATCTCTACAGTAGATTGCCCAACCTTCCTTCTGAGGAGTGGCTGGTGAGTTTGAACCACCAGCCTTCCGGCAGTCAAGTGCCTTAGGGACTAAGCCACCAGAGCTCCTTGCTATTTGCACTAGATCCAGTAGAATTCAAAGAACTTGAGGAGGTGTTGGAATTATTGGTACCTATTTAGAGTCTTCTTCTGTCCCTGAAATCAATTTAGGTCCTCATTTCACAATATACATCTCAATAAATTCCATATGAATTAAAGTATAAACATAAACAAAAAAATGAAGAAAATTATTTTTTTAAAAAATAGGAAAATAAAGTTAAATTGTTATATAATCTTTCATGAGGGAGAACTACCCTCATATAAAATAGAAGAAATCATAAAAAAGTAGGTAAACAATCTGCAAAACACCACATAACGTGGATGAACTTGGAGGACATTATGCTGAGTGAAATAAGTCAATCACAAAAGGACAAATATTGTATTAGTCCGTTACTGTAAAAGTCAAGGAAAGGTTTATCTATGGAAGGAAATTTTCTTTGTTGGTTACCAGGGGTGGGAAGGGAGGGGAGGGAACACTGTTAGATAGATAAAGATAAGTATTGATTTGGGTGAAGAGAAAGGCAATGTACCAAATGTGAGTGATCAATATGGTGGCACTGAGGAAGCGAAAGACATAGAGAGGTACATGGGAGGTACAGACAACAAAGATGAACCCTGTTGCACATACAGTACTGCATTGTCAGTGAGGGCAAACATGGGTATATGGGTGGATAGATGGGTGGACAGGCTAAACTAGTAGGTATGTCTATGAAGCGGGGAGTGTACCCAAGAACATGTATAGGGTTGGCAGACAATGGTCCTATAAGTTTCTGTGTATGATCTGAATTCCCAGGTGTACAGTAGAGCTGACAAGAGGCAAGATGGTAGTCACTGCTCGGTCACAGCCAGCTACCCAGAGGGACCAAGTAGTTGAACCTGTGGGCTCGGGACCATAGTGGCAGGGGACATCAAGCTCAATTGGCATAACATACTACACAAAACACTGTTCCACCTCCTACTTTGGCAAGTAGCAACTGGGATCTTAGAAGCTTGTAAGCTGCCATCTACATGCAACGATGGGTCTCTTCTCGTCCAGAGCAAAGAAGAATGAAGAAAACCAAAAATTCATGGATACAATCAGTTCTAGCGACTGGTACACCACCCAATCTGCAGCCTATACAACTATGAGACCAAAAGAACTAGATGGTGCCCAGCTACCAATGTCAACCACTTGGAAGGGGATCTATGTAGGAGATCCTGGATAGAAAGAGAGAACAATGTGGACAAAACTCAAAATCATTTGGAGAAAAAAAAGGGGGGGAGGGCAAGTTTGCTGGTCCGATAGAGCCTGGTGGAACCACTGAGACTATGGTCCGTCAGGTCTGGAATTGAACCCACACCTGTGGCTTCCAGCCAAGCAAAAGATAGGCATATGAGTTGAACATTTACCTGAAGTAGATGCACTCCTTGGAGAGAACAATCATGGGAGAAAGAAGGGCTGCTTATGCACAAGGAGACAGCTCAGGGGGCAGGAGGGCATGGAGGGATGGACACAGGGAAGAGGTAACTATCAGAAGGAAGTGGGAGGGGAGCTGTTGCACTGTGGTAAATTGTGGTCAATGTCATGAGACAAAGTGTATGTGAACTGCTGTATGAAAAGTGAATTTGCTCTGTAAATCTTCACCCAAATTACAATTTGAAAAAATTAAAAAAAAAAGAAATAGGTAAGCATATAAGTAGGCAAACATATAGGTCAAATTTTCCTGTACTTCAGAAAAAAAGCAGAAAGTTCCTAATTGCAAAAAACATTAGTAGCTACAATTTACTGCCATTGAAATCATGCTAGTCACATACATAAGGAGCTCTGGTGGTGCAATGCCTAAAGCATTTGACTATTCACCAGAAGACTGGTGGCTCAAAACCACCTGCCACCTCCAAAACCTAATGGGGGTCACCATGAGTCAGAATTGACTTGATGGCAGTGGGTTTTAGTGACATACATAGACTCAGTTACTGTATTTTTTAGACTATGTACAATTTTCATACTCATTTTTCAGAATTTTCTCAGGATCACACAACCAGAAAGTGGTGGAATCAAAATTCATGTGCAGGTTGGTCTGACTGCAAAGCCTGACTTTATCCTGTCTTCCAAACAAAGAAAAGTATTTGCAACAAATATAAAAAGGGACAAATATCCCAAATACATTAAAAACTCATAGAAAGTAGGAAAAGCACTAAGATCACATGCATAAATAAGCAAGTCATAACTTTTTACAGAAGAAAAACTGTAGATGACTAATAAATATTTGAAAAAATGTCCAACCTTCAAAAGATTTTAATAATATATGATCAACTAAGTTTTAGTTCATAAAAGTTATTTAAAAATAAAATGGGCAGAAGACATGAACAGACACTTCACCAAGGAGGATATTCAAGCGGCCAACAAACATATGAAGAAATGCTCACGATC